GCTGAATTGAGTGGCTGTCTCAAACAGTTTTGGTTTAATAACCGAGATGATTCATTTCAACTGTTAGCCTTCTGATGTTCATACTTGCTTTATGGTTTTGTGTTCCCTACAGAAACATATTTTCCTGCAGAAATTAATATTTAAAAATCTCTAGAAACACAATAGCACTAGAAAAGGTGTGAACAATTTCCCCGTTTACCTCCTCGAGGTACAATATAAATATCAAAAGCTAGTTAGAGCTTGTTTAAAAGTAACAGAATTATTGATTCCAGTCCTACGGCTGGTGAAATAAGAACTTGGCTGCTGCTTGTCAAACAGTGAGCTCTTGGATCGCAGACATGCCGGCAGAAGTCTGTCTCACTTGGTAGTGGACAAGGCTGTTTCCATTTTGCTTAAATCGTTGGCTGTCTGTTGCACTCTGCTAGTTTTATGAAACTTGTCGGCTGCATGCAATAGTAGCAGAGGCTCCAGCTGATTAGCACTTCCTTCAATAGCAAAATGTCACTGAGGCAGTGGGAATATATTGTGGTTAATAAGTAAAATGCAGCCAGACGCACTTTAAGTGGGATATAGGGAAAGATGAATGGATGAGGTGGTTGATGATGGCTAACTTGTTTTAAGATTTATAGTGGAGGGCTTTTTTTCCATTTAGTACACGTAGTCTATTCAAAAATGTTTTTCTCTTCTAGTTTCTTAAAGCTGCCAAAAGAATAAATCCCCCCCAATAGTTTTATATGATAAATATGGCACAAGCCTGTTTGAATTTTTCTCTCAGTTTTCTTTGAAAAATGAAATGCTAGTTGGATTTTTCCAGGCATGTCCAAACTGTGCCAGGAGTCCAGCAGTTGCTTCTAATATGCATACATTTTAGCCATAGCATTTGCTTCTGCTTTCAGTGCAGGAGTGGGACCTCTGAAACATGCAGGTCTCAGTTTTTAACAGCCCATCGCTGCCCACCAGTGAAGCAAATAAAACCGAGCATTTCAAGGGGGTATTTTAATCTTTGCAATGCAACGTTCGGTATGGTGAAGCTGTCAAACTCCATGGATAATGCTTGGGAGAGGACAGAATCATTATATTTGAGTATTTTTAAATTAATTTGAATTTCTTTTCCTTTTAAGATTTATTTGAAATGTACAGCTTAATTCTCAGTGCATTTTCTTTTCAAACGTTCACCAGGCTCAGTCTCAAGGAGCAATTACGTTTAAAATTGTACCTAGTGTGAAGGAAGAAATGCCAGTGAAGGAAGGCAAGGTAGGCAAGACTATTTCAGAAGCTATTGCAGTAACTGTTATGCTGGGGATACATACTGTTTGCTCGGATGACGGCACCAAGAATGTGATTTATGCCTCCTGACTTAGTTTTTCTAATGTGATGATGTGTAGCGCACTGTACACTTCAGTATTCACATGCTGGATTTACAAGTGGGTGTAACATGGTTCTTAAGCCCTAACTCTACAGCCATGAAGTTGATATTGGTAATCTTCAGTCTTCTGCAAGGACCTGGCTTGCTTTCAAGTACTCCTTTTCTTCCATGGTACACTGGGTAGAAGACACTTGATAGCACCTTGGTTCAAAAATATATTCTCTTCTGTTCCCTATATGGGCACACTATTCACCTGCAAAGTCCTGTTTGCCTCAGATCATAGAGCCTTTACTACGTTGGGATTGTGGTTGCAGAAGCAATGAATTTAACATTCTCATATGAACTGCTAATGTTAGACATCCATAAGGGTGTTTTACAGCAGTAAACATTTATTGCTTTACATTATTTAGTTCAATTGTTTTGGACAGTAAAAGCAAAAAAAGGAGATACCTTTGGATAACATTTAATATTTTGATTTTAAAGATAAAACATGGTTTGTTTCAGATGTTTATCAGAGCCCTCTTTGACTATGATCCTAATGAGGATAAAGCAATTCCTTGTAAAGAAGCTGGACTTGCTTTCAGAAAAGGAGATATCCTTCAGATCATGAGCCAGGATGATGCAACCTGGTGGCAGGCCAAACACGAAGGTGATGCCAATCCCAGAGCAGGCTTGATCCCTTCAAAGCATTTCCAGGAGAGGTGAGCTACTGAGAAGCATAGTTTCAGTATTTTTTGTAGTAAGAGAAGACACTTAATTGCAGAGTTGTTAAGTTAGCAGAGTTGTCGTATGTGATGCTCACAGATTACATGGGTATGATAAACCTGCATTTGCAGCAAGACAACTGAACTTGGAAACCTGTTGCTGAAATACTTTGGATGTCCTTATTTGTCTGGCTAGAATTAATAATGACAAAAACTGATAGGATAACACTGATCCAGATTGAAAGACAAAACATATGGAAAATAGCACATCAGTATCTGTGTTCACACTGATGTACTACGCAGGAATAAGAACCGCAGCAAGTTTTGGAGAGCTTACAAAAAATTGAGGCTTAGGATGTAATTTTTTAGATTGTGAATAGATTACATTTTTTTAAGCTAATTTCTTATAAAAATCTTCTGGATATTTTGCAATAGTCTCATGATGTTAAGTTTTAAGTAATCCCAAACTTGCAGTAAAAACTGAGGAGTTTGTGTCTTTCCCCTACCACCTCCCATTTTGTAGGAGATTTGCACTAAGAAGACCAGAAGTGCAGATTCAGCCACTGAAAATTTCCAACAGAAAATCATGTAAGTTTGTTAAGCTGGAATAGAAATCATACTCTTGATCTCTAACCGTGTAAAATAGCAGTTTGTTTCAGCCCTGTGACTACAGGATGCATTTCTCCTGGGCACAATAGCTTCTTGATCATATTGTGTCAGTAGGAAAATAAATATAAGCGCTAAAATTAAAAACGTTAAAAGCAGCTAATATTTTTTCCCAGCCCTCTGACTTTGTTTTTGAAGCACCGAGCCCAATTAATGTTGTGATATATAATATTTTAAAGGTTGAAGAGTGTTCTTTTCCTGTTGAAACAGTACAGAATTGGCTCAAGAGTTTATATAATTGGACTGCATCAATACAGTGAAATTTATATTGAGAGTGAGATAAAAGGTTGGATAGTCTCCTCTTCTCTCCCCCATATAGTTGGTGATTTTTTGTGTCCTATGAAGCAGTACAAATTATTACAAGTCAGGACATTCAGTTCTTTGACAGGCTTTCAAAGAACCACTTCTTACTGTTTTTAAAACAAGTTCATTCTTAACAGTCTCTGCTTTTAGATATGGTAGTTGCACAACATAAGAAAAATAAGCTCTCAGAAAGTGCATAGATCGAAACAAATATTTTCTTTCCACTGGAATTTACATCAACATCTGTTTTAAGTATTATTGCATAGTTTACTTGACTTGTTATTTCTTTCAGTTATACAGACTCATAACAAAGTGACTACAATGTAAGAAACTATCACGCTTCAATAGGATCTAAATCTTAAATACAAATATGTTTGTGAGTTCAACTAGAAATACTCAGAAAGTGGTCTAAAATTTCCAACCATCTTTCATTCTCTAACATTAAAACAAAAAGTATGGATACTATGGCAAACGGTGGATACTGCACGCTAACTGCAAAACTAAATGCTTTTAACTTTAAAACTTCTCACCGAGGTTTCTGCTGCAATTTTCCTAACCCATTGCTATGGCTTTTGTGTTCTGAAGTTTGATAATTACTTTTAGTTTTCTAATAACCTGCATTTTCTATCTTTCATTCCATTTCACTATTTGATTGTCTGCCCTAATGCTGTTGTTAACTCCAAAGCCCTTGATTAGCTTTGTAATTACAATAACAGACTATATGATTGCTCTATAGGTTTTCTAATTTACATAGATCTTAGAAACAAAGAGGAGCTCCTCCAGCTTGTAGTAAATGTGTTGTTTTTCTAGGTTCTAGGTCAAGTTGCTCTGCCCCAGTTTTGGAAAAGTGTCTGATCCCAGGGTATAGCTATTTCTCTGTCCACTGTTCTTGAATCTGGATAATACCCTCAACAAGAGCCTTCAATTAATGTGGCACTGGTGCTTTTGAAGAGGTAAATCAGCTGCTGCAGCAAAACTGCATGACTCCTTTTATAATGGACTGCATCTTTTTAGTGACCTTCAAGTGAAAGGTTTTACAAGATGCTTTTCACCCTTCCAAATAGGCAGCCTGAACTTGATTGGGAACTGCTAAAATTACAATCCAAAAAAGACCCACAGTACAATGTCTACTATTGTCTCTGCTGTTTACACTGACTTTGGCTTAACTAGCTTAAGCAAGGGAGCAAGGGAGAAGAGTTCCTCTCTTCCTCCCCTTTCCTTTGAAATGTGACAGAGCCTAAAGGTCAAGCAGTATACCTATTATCGTTCTCTTTTAGACTTTTATAGACAAAGCAAGGTCCAGCTCAATACCATCTAGAAGGCAGTGGTGCCTCTTGAAGGAGGAAAGACTGCAGAGTAATGTAGGTTTGTCATTTTCACTCTTCTGCGTTTCTTAGGACAATCTGCTGCTACATCTGCCAGATTGCCAGGGGAAGAAGGGAAGTGCTGTTCTGAGTAGAGGTCCTTTTATTCAAAGACTAAATGTGTTTTTAGTGCTAGGAGGGAATTCAGATCCTTTGTGGAGGAGGCATTTTAAGGACCAGAATTCAGCTATAGAAAAAATGTTGTGACTAGGATGTTGCTCGAGTTGCTCACAGGAAAATCTTCCACTTGCTTGGCTTTTCAAGAACATTCCACATAAGCTGGGAAACTCCGCGTGCTTGTGAAAGTTAGGCAGCTTTTTCATGTTACCCAGCACGGCAGTGAAGCTGTGAGATGTGGAGGCCATGTCTGTATCTCTGCAGAGCAATTACCTTGCCAAAATTGGGAGATGCTGGAAAATCATGCATTGCTCAGCTGAACAAACAGCATACTGCCAGTATTGGAAACATGTAAGGAAGGTGACATAGAGAACAGAAAATGGAAAAGGACTGCTGGGTCTGATTTTTTTTTTTTAGTCCTTTTCTGTATTGTGGGGTATGGCCCACTGATTATTGTCCTCTAAAGTTTTATTTAACAAGTTCCCATGGAAGAAGGTAGAAAATTGGCAGTGCTTGATTTCGTCTGATTCCTTTTTAATCCTGTACTACCGGCCTTCAGCTTGATATAGGGTTCTCCAGTGTTTGGAAGGGTAATTGTGTGGGGAAACTGATGTTCTGTAGATCTTCCTGAACTAGCTGTATATTGAGAGGTTGCTTGCTATTGCAGTTCATCCCGTCCAGTCGTATGACCTGAATTTCCTTAGCAGTTTGGAGGGAAAGGGCAATTTGCCAGCTGATATTCTTAAAGCTTCTTAAAGACGAAAACCTATTGGCTTCAACAGAGCTGCTCATAAAAGTCCCTTTCCTGACAGGACTGGGAGTTGCGCTAGGAAGTTTTCTTGAGACCTGGTAAGTAGCACTGGATGTCGGCCTGGTCTGTTCAGTCAACTCATTCGACAGATCCCATTGTTTGTAATGAGGAGAAACCTGGGTACATGCCTTTGTGTTTAATGGGGAGAATCAAGGAGAAATACTCTGTTTTCTTGGATACCAAGAAAATGTGAGTCACCTCTGGTTTCTTAGGTGAGCTGCCAGGGTTGTAGTGTCATTTTACTTGAAAATTAATCTCAAAATTAGTCAAAAAAGTATAATGTACGAGAAGTATCCTACAACAACTTCTTTTCCTCTCTTCTCAAGCCAGTTCTGGAACCAGGAAGGACTGTTGTATTTGTCTACAAAAACAGCTGTCTGAAACATAGTCAATAACTGTATTCACAGCAGCATTAATGTCCATCAGGATTTGCTTTAATAATGAAGTATGTTTCAAAACCTGCGAGGAGCTATATTGAGTTACTTTTGGGAAGCCTTTCTACTTCCAATTTTGAATTTTTATATACTTTTCAGCATAGCAATGCATGTTGTGTTAAGTTGCTTAACTGTATACATATTTGTGTATTATAAATTTGGAAGCAAAAAAGTGGGCTTTTTTGATGATGTTGACCATGCTTGTATGTATACACATGTCAAGGAAAGGGAGTAGAGGATATTTTCTATTGAGCTTTTTCAGAAAGAATTATTTGCACTGAAAACAACAGAAACCCAACCTAATTCTGAACTATTAAAAGGATCATTTTATAATGGAAATGCCAATTCTTAATTCACTTTAATAGCCAAGTCAACTTGTTTCATTGTGTCTATGTGTAAAGTGAATATAAGTAAATACTTTAGCTTTATGGAATATACATACATATCTCCCAGAACTTAGCTATTTGCTTGAAAGAGATAAGAGAATCTTCCTCATATTGCACCAGTCAAAGTGAAAAAAGAACTTCAATGTGTACACTGGAGGAGGGGACAAAACAATGTACATTCCCTGTTGAAAGGTAAGTGAAATCATTTGAAAATGGAGAGGGTGCATACTGTGATGGTATCTAGGCATAAGGTGGCAGGGAATTGATAATATAGGTGGAGACTATGCTGACGAGATGGTTTTACATTGAGAGGAGGACCCAGAAAAAGTAGGAATAAAAGAAAAAGCAGGGAAGTAAACTTTCTTATAGAGGATGAAGAAAAGGAGACAGTATTGGAAAAAGGGCAGTGGAAGAACAGATGGACAAAAGCTGGCCATAAACCCTGTTAGGCAAATCCCTACAGAGGATGGGCTTTGAAATTATTAAATTAGTGCAATTAACAGTATCATGCAATAACATTACTGTATTCAATATTTGCACTAACATACTTGTTTTCTTAAAGATTTTGAAATGGTGAATGCAAAAATTACTAATATAAACTCTGACCTATTTTGGTTTTTTATTATTGGTAGAAAACCTCAAAAAGTTCAACATAATATTAGAGAAGTTTTAAAAGCATGAGATAAGTGGCAGCTGGATGTGCTTACCCACTGATGAGATTGATAGTGCTGCTTCCCGGGCTCTGAGTTAGTGCAGAAGTGGTGGAGGGCTACCAAACCTCTCAAGCATTTTCAGCGTTTTTATCGATACTTAACAGCAATGACTTGCTGCAATGTCATGCACCAGTACAGGCTTGGGGCAGACCTGCTGGAGAGCAGCTCTGTGGAGAGGGACCTGGGAGTGCTGGTGGTTGACAGGTTGACCATGAGCCAGCAGTGTGCCCTGGCTGCCAAGAAAGCTAATGGGATCCTGGGATGCATTAGGAGGAGTGTGGCCAGCAGGTCGAGGGAGGTTCTCCTTCCCCTCTACTCTGCCCTAGTGAGGCCTCACCTGGAGTACTCTGTCCAGTTCTGGGCTCCCCAGTTCAAGAAAGATGAAGAGCTACTGGAGACAGTCCAGCGGAGGGCTACGAGGATGGTGAGGGGACTGGAACATCACTCCTATGAGGAGAGGCTGAGGGAGCTGGGCTTGTTCAGCCTGAAGAAGAGAAGGCTGCGAGGGGACCTAATAAATGCTTACAAATATCTGAAGGGTGGGTGTCAGGAGGATGGGGCCAAGCTCTTTTCAGTGGTGCCCAGCAACAGGACAAGGGGCAATGGGCACAAACTGAAGCACAGGAAGTTTTGTCTGAACATGAGGAAGAACTTCTTCCCTGTGAGGGTGACGGAGCACTGGAACAGGCTGCCCAGGGAGGTTATGGAGTCTCCTTCTCTGGAGGTATTGAAGACCCGCCTGGACAAGGTCCTGTGCAGCCTGCTCTAGGTGACCCTGCTTTAGCACGGGGGTT